ATTAAAATGCAACAACGTCACTTACATCATCATCACCGCATCTCAGACGCACACCTAACATTTGATTGTACTATTTTTGCATTCAAATACAAATGTTTATTTTAAATTCAACTAATATTAATTTTTTTTATTCACAATTTCCTCATCACAGGCAGCCACAGCACTCAATTCAGCATGTGTTCGTGCTCCTGTGGGCCGTCTGCGTCACATAGCACATGCCTATATCGTGCACTATATCGAACATTTTTTCTATCGTTATCGAAGGTGACACTTTCCGACCAGGCACAGAGTGGAGCCAATCACAACACACACTGGCCCAGCTAACCAATCACAGCACATTTTGTATTTCAGAAGGCGGGCCTTCATTTGATACAGGAACTATTCGAGCCGTTCATGCCAGACTGGGGAGAGAGGTGTTGTAATAATGTCAAATATGTGAAAAATAATGTGTTTTTCGAACAACCTAGTATGAGAGCCTGTTCTAGTACACCCCCAAAACAAAATCAAGACTTTGTAAAAGAGCATAATAGAACCCCTTTAAGGTTCCTTAAGTTGACCCTTAGGATTTTTCTTGTAACCCAAGTTTCACTAATGCTACCCTTAACCTTATAACGAAGTGATTTCTTAGCTTAAGGGCTTGCATGCAATCGGGCACAGGTATTTAACAATAAATGCAGAGTCGACATATAGAGAGCAGAAACAAAAGGTACACCAAACAACTGCAAAACCTTGTTAGTGGTTTTGCTAAGGCAAACATCATAATTACTACTGCTCAAGCATAAGGTTCAATATGAAAAAACTGCTAAGTTTGAGTATTAAACTTTGGGGTGTAACTTGTCCCACATTTTAAATGATGAGGCTTTACATGTACTTTAAAGAGGGAATGGGCAAACCGATACTCTCACAATAATCGCGTATCATTCATTGTCTCCGAGGGAGAATAATTAAGGGGGAATGCTTAATGACAGCCGTAAAGGGGTCCTATTATGCTTTTTCACTTTTTCAACTTTAGTTAGTCTGTAATGGGTGTAACTTGTCCCACATTTTAAATGATGAGGCTTTACATGTACTTTAAAGAGGGAATGGGGAAGTGAACTGAATTTCATTTCCTAAAGTCAGAAACTTATCTCATTCACACCCGGAACTGACATCCGTCTCGGGTGATCCAATCATATTAAATTAAAGCAAGCCAGGTCCAAATTTCTTTGTAATGGGATTATTCAAACACATTCAGAAATGGTCAGAAGCAAATGTGACTACATAACAATAGGTCTGAACTGAATGCATGATGCATATTTATTTCTGTATTATTATTCAACACTCTTCATATATGCAAGGATCTTTCAACTCAATCACCAGTGTATTTATTTTAAGAAAAATGCATCAGACTTTTGGGGAAAAGAAAAAAAAAAAAGCATTGCGGTACAAATTACTACTTTGACCCATTTGTTTAATTAGGTTGCAGAATCTAAAAAAACATTTGGAAACGGAAATTGTTTAGTAAAAGCACTGAAGTGCTTTGAATATGACAGGGTTGACAGTGGCATTAACTTATGGGAGAAAATACGATCACAATGGGATAAAGATAAAGAAGTGCTTGTGTGGTAAATGTGTTAACAGTTCCCTTAATAAATAACCAGATCACATCTTCACACAATACAAATACTCTTGTCCTTTAAGCTAACTTCAGTGGCATGTAACTAACTATGGGGTCTCTGTTTAGGACAAAGAAATAGAAGTAAAGTAAACCTACAGTCCTCTTAAATCACAGTGAGTTTGTTTCATTATCAGTTAAACCGACTGACTACAACTAGAACTAGTAGCAGTTGGATCTGAGCACTGGGATAATCAGGTTTCCACGGTAACTTGCACTATTTACACTGTCCTTTACTTAAGCAATTATATAACAACAATGGCAACAACGACTAAAAGCAGATTTCATAGTAATATGTCGTCTATATATCCACACGTTTGCCTTCCTTACCTGGTTAATGGTTTATAGTGAGCACCTCTCTGTTTAGCTTCTACGTAACGTCGCTAGCTGTTTAAATGCAAGCTGGACATCGTAAAACACATGAGTGATGATGGAAGGGCTTACGTACACGCCCACTGAAGCGCTATTGGTCGCGTCCTGTAAGCCACGCCCACGTGCATCACAGTCCGACTCGTTTCCGCGAATCGGTTCATTTGAACACTTCGTTTCAAAGTCGTTTCGGCCTGGTTTGTGAAAGAACCGTTTTTGCGAACCGATTTAAAGGATTTGGCTCTAAAGAACGATTCGTTCACAAATCATCGTTATTTCTTTATTGTACACGTGTTTAAATAAAAGAAAGATGAATCAGCAGGTCGTGTACAATTTTACGATCATTAATTATTTGCTGTGACTACTCACAATATCAGATTTTTAAAAATGTATTAACATCACATACTTCCCTAAAGATATAAACTGAAGTTTTAACAGCTGGCATATGGTTTTCTATCTAGTAGACAGCGAAGACAGCACAGACATTGTTAACTAAAAGGCAATATAGTACAAATGGACAAAGTATACTAGTTACTTTTCCATTGTTTACTTTTCCAACTCCCTTAATAATCTCGCTATTAGCCTGCTAACTGCACAGCTACCTGTTTTCTAAACTAACGGCTAGTTGCTCCCGCACAAACACATAAATAATTGTTAGGTAACGTTAGATTTTGTTACGAGACCACATTCAACAACAGGTTTTGCTCAGGTCAAGTTGGCTTACAGATGACAAACCGCCGCCGCAGCTGTTTCTCTGATTCGACTGATAACGCCCGTTTATAAACTCACCTCCGCACTCCGGACGATTACTATATCGATGTCGCCGGATTAGAAGAGCTTGCTTTATTGGCTTGCACTATTAAAATGTTTGCGAAGTGTGCTCGGCGTTGTCCAGCTTCCCTTCCCCCACCGAGAAACAGCCTGTTTGTTAGTTTTGACACTCCAGCCCCCACTTTAACCAAGACTTCACGAAGGGACTTCAATAGTTTTCCGGCGTTGACGTTTTGCGGTATAAACTGTCCCATGTGCCATATATATGTATGTATGTATATATATAGAGAGAGAGAGAGAGAGAGAGAGAACCTCTGACACTTGCATTCTCTATTCTTTTTCTAATCTTTCGACTTGTTTTATTTTTATAAAAAAAAGACCCTCTAACACTAGCGTTCCCTATTCTATTTTATATTCTGTCAACTTGGTTTTTTTTAATAAAAAAAAAACCTTGATACGTGTACTGCGCTAACTGAGACTTGCATACTTGCATATCATTGCCCTTTTGTTGGTTTTGATTCCTTCTGTTGTCCTCATTTGTAAGTCGCTTTGGATAAAAAGCATCTGCTTAAAGGCAGAGTGAGGGATTTCTGGTAGCCAATGTTTATATTTGAAATCACCAAAACAAACACGCCCCTACCCCAAAAGGGTCTTGCCCCTATTTTGATAGCTCCGCCCCACATATACGTACGCAACCCAGGCAACGATTAGTTCTGTGTTGGCTTACAGATGACAAACCGCCGCCGCAGCTGTTTCTCTGATTCGACTGATAACGCCCGTTTATAAACTCACCTCCGCACTCCGGACGATTACTATATCGATGTCGCCGGATTAGAAGAGCTTGCTTTATTGGCTTGCACTATTAAAATGTTTGCGAAGTGTGCTCGGCGTTGTCCAGCTTCCCTTCCCCCACCGAGAAACAGCCTGTTTGTTAGTTTTGACACTCCAGCCCCCACTTTAACCAAGACTTCACGAAGGGACTTCAATAGTTTTCCGGCGTTGACGTTTTGCGGTATAACCTGTCCCATGTGCCATATATATGTATGTATGTATATATATATATAGAGAGAGAGAGAGAGAGCCTCTGACACTTGCATTCTCTATTCCTTTTCCTACTCTTATCTTCTTGTTTTCTTTTTATTTATTGTATTAAAAAAAACACCCTCTAACACTAGCATTCTCTATTCTTTTTCTAATCTTTCGACTTGTTTTATTTTTATAAAAAAAAGACCCTCTAACACTAGCGTTCCCTATTCTATTTTATATTCTGTCAACTTGGTTTTTTTTAATAAAAAAAAAACCTTGATACGTGTACTGCGCTAACTGAGACTTGCATACTTGCATATCATTGCCCTTTTGTTGGTTTTGATTCCTTCTGTTGTCCTCATTTGTAAGTCGCTTTGGATAAAAAACATCTGCTAAATGGCTAAGTGTAAATATATATAGTATAGTAAATGTAATATATATATATATATATATATATATATATATAGGTGCATCTAAAAAAATTTGAATATCGTGAAAAAGTTCATTTTTTTCTTGTAACTTAATTTAAAAAGTGACACTTGCATATAT